ACTCTTTCCTGCCTATGCAGGGGGTCGGACTCGATGATCTATTGAGGTCCCTTCCGACCCTAACATCTATGAATCTATGACATATGCTAAAAAGTATAATCCTACTGTATTTAACTAAGCCATGGCAGCATCTAATACTTCTGCTATTTGAGATGTATTTCAGGAAAAAAATCTGTCTGCAGAAAATATTTTTTTTCCTATCTGGTTAATAACCAAAGTATTTCTGAATATATTAAAATGAGTTATTAGAAACAAATTTGTCCAAAGATCAGGTCCAGTTAATAAAAAGCCAAAGACTAATAGCTATTTTCTAATTATCTAGTATGTGTGGAAAAATTAACACATCAGGACAAGCTCTAAATCCAAAGTTTGGTTTGCATTTCTTTTTAATCCTGTAATATTTAATTCACAGAATTTATTAGAAGCCAACAGATACCTGATCAAAGTACAAGATGTAGCCCAAGTTAGCTGCAGGTCTGAGGAAATTCATCTCTCACTCAGGTAAACAGATCATAAAAATATTGGTGGGTGGTAAATAAAAAGGCATCAAGTGACTGGTTGCTAATTTGGAGGTAGAAAGTTTTCCTTAGGTCACGTTGGCAAAGACTGGAGACATTTTGGGTGGAAGGAAGCGAAGATATAGATGTTAAGTGATGATTACCTATGAGTAACTGTGGGCATTTCAGGCCCCGTCTACAAGTTTTATGTATCATACAATTACCACGTTAATTGCACTATTAATTTGGACCAGCTACATGTGCAAATTAATTATCATGCCATAAAAAGGTCCAACCAGCTATAAAGTTATGGCTGGAAAATGTGTAATAACTTTATAGCTTGTTTGTATCCATCTTTAATTTTCACTTGTAGCAGGGTCTGGTGCAGCTGGGACTGGGAATCCTGCAGCTGAGGGAACTGTCAGCCCCAGTAGTGCCCCATGGCTGCTGAGATGGAGGATCCCACAGCTGGCAGGACTCTATTCTCCTGGCCGTGCCCCGCAGCTGTGGCCTCTGGGGCCTGGCAGTCCTGTGGGGGCACTGCTAGGACTCAGCGTCCTTAAATGCGGGGTGCTGCCAGGGGGAAGAGTTCCATTAGCTGTTGGACGTTGTCCCAGTGGCTGTGGGGCACTGCTGGGATCCAGCTGTGGATCTCTGGGATCTGCCATGGGGCACTGCTAGGAGGGAGAGACTACAACAGTGGGACTCTCAGTCCTGGCAACTGTGGGGTGCTGCCATGGCTGCAAGTCCTGTCAGCTATGGGACTTGCAGCTACAGGAGCTTGTTACTTGCTGGTACAGGGGGAGCCCAGAATGGCAATCCAAGGCTCCCTCTGTACCAGTAGTAAAGCGTGAAAGGATCTGACGCTGCATCCCACAATCATGCCTCCTGTCATGCATGTGTGGCATGGCAGGAAGCGTGATTGTGTGGCCTGTGCATCAGATCCTACCATGCCTTCACCTGAATGTCTAGAGGGGCCCTTAGGGACAGAGATGTGTGGGAAGGGTGGAAGGACAGCAAATTTTTCTTGTTTCCTGCTAATGAAGGAAATACGGCAGCGCTAAACTAATGTGTGAGAAAACGATCAGTTTCATACACAGTGTAGAATATATACATAGCTGCAAGGCCACAATAATTAAAGATTTAACTAACTTCAAGTTTTAACTCTGTTAGTACACCTACCTTGACAGATTCACCTTCATTTTTCGGCTGCGGAGATTGTAATCAGCTGATCTGTGTGATACCACCACACTATTCAGGCGTGATCATGTTGCTAGATTCAGATGTTCATCTCTGGTAGAGGAACCAGGATGTGTTAGCTCTGGATCAGCTGTAAAAGCTAAAAAAGAAAATGTGTCCAAAACCCACTTTATTTCAGGAGTCATTTTCTACATTTCCTCTGCTATTTTAGTTTTGCATTAAGCCCCTTCCTTACAAACCAACTTCTACTGAATTGTTACATGCACAATATTCCAGCTATGGCCGACTGTATAAAATTTAAGAATTACTTTCCTGTTCACAACCCTTTTATATTGCAACATTTAAGACTAGGGTGCAAATAAAAGAAATATAAAGGAAGATTCAAAGTTGGCTATAGGTGAGGGAGGAAAACAGTTTAGTAGTTTATTGCTAGAACTGAGGTGCCATACACTGAAATTAAGAGAGAGCCTATTAGATATAATGAGGTATTCATTACTACATGTTAAGTTCTCTTAAGCCAACTTTTGCACACTTGTAATATGCTAATTATCATGGGTGACTGGTGCCTCCTGAGTCTGGGGGGCACCCACAGATACCCCTGGCAGGGACAGCTCTGCCGAGGGGGAGAGAGGCACATGCTGCTCTGTGCCTCCCCCCACCAGTCACCTATACTGATTATGCAAAGACTAGAAGAACTAACATTTCAGTACTATTAATAGTGAGGAAGTAGAACTTAAGTTGTCCTTTGCCCTTTTTCAGTAGAATTGTGGTTGCATTACTACTAGTTGGAACTATTAATAACAGAATTATTATTATTACTTTAATATTAAAGTAAATTAGAGTACTTTAATGTTTTAAATTCTCTAAACTAAAAGTAAAAACAGAAGCCACTTCTCCATATGTTAAAAGTTCTCTCTCTCTGTATCTACTTTGTTTCTCAGAGTCAACCTAAAACCATGATGCTCAACCAAATTTCCACAAGATCCTTTTAAGGGCGCGACACGATTAGCACTGTTAGGTTCACAAATATCTACAGACGATTCACAAGATAAAACTAGATTTCAAATATGAACTTATAGTGGCAAAAATTCTGACCTGTTATGGTCCTGAGTTCTTTGCAACAGAAGAATTGCTCTATTATTTTTCCATAGTTTAAAAAACAAAACAAAACAGTGAAAGCTTAGAGCTGGCATTTTCTGAGGAGTGCCTTTAGTCTAAAAAGGTCAAGAACCATTGGACTTTAGGGCTGCCTTCAAGTCCCTGCAAACTGATCATCAAGACTGGAAGCTCTGTTCAGTCAAAGGACCTGAAGTCCAGCTTCCTGCTGGGTGGCCACCTGCAGTGTTTAGGACTCAAATTGGCACTGTGCACTGTAAGCACAGGAAGTCCACCACAGCAATTCTGTAACCTCCTCTTCCTGATTTTTGGCCCTTTTCTACACCACTTCCAGTTTCCACTGTCTGTAAGAGCCAAGTACAGGCAGCAGGCAGCCTGATTCCTAGGACTCCGTTGGAGGAACAGTAAAACACAATTCACAGCAGCTACTTGTTTAGATATAACACAGGAAGGGATACACAATAATTCATTCACAGTTTATCTGTAAATTACTAGGAAATAAGATAAATCTGAATTGAAAGGAAAAAAAGTACATTAAAATGTCTGAACCCAGTTGCTATTATGTAAAAAGATGTATCCCCAACTATAGCTTCAGCTTTAGGGATCCTTATAACCAAGCCAGATAACAAAACGTGTATTCCAGGGTCACTAGAACCCAGAGTTTGAACTGTAGCTCTACATGTAAATACAAAACATGGACAATGATCTAATCATCCCGTTTCTTGTCCAAGCTCAGGTCCTTTTCTTAATGTTATGGCCCCTTTCCTATTATTTGCACTTAAACTCCTATGCCCCCAAAACAAGAAAGTTCATGTACTCTTCAAATGTATTTCTTAGATGCGTCGGAAATATTCACGCTCATTTCTTAGAGGCCTTGACAGATTTGTCTTTCAGAGTTTACAGTAATCCTTCATTTTTTTTTGTTCTTTTACAGACTCTATGAACACGTCAGTGATCTTAGTCTTTTTCTTTTCAATGATGCACTTGTTATTTCAAGCTGCAACATCTCTTACAAGCCTTTTGAACAGATCCCAAACACATCATACCAATTCTTGGCATCAGTAGCACTTCACAGGCTCCTTGTAGAAGACATTCCAGACTCAAAATGTATGTTTTGTAATATTAGTACAATGGTCAAAAGAAACTTAAGATGTTAAGATTACCTGCCAGGAGACCCCCCAGACCAGGCTAAAGGCTGTTTAAGGTGTACCACTATGTAGAAAAAACCTCAAGATTCTTCAGGCAAAAAGGAGAGTAGGAAGAAGCTGACTCTAGGCCTAGGTCTCAATTAGGTGGGTGCTCCCAGAATTGTATGCATTTTGCACTAAACAGTTGTTGGTTTAAAAAAAAAATAAAAAAAATCTGGCAGCACGTACCAAAAATCAGGTCTTCTGTAAGTGGAATTCCTAAACACTAATCTACAGACATTCCTTTCTGCCCAGTATCCCAATAATAGATTTCCCCATTCACCTTAGTTTATAGCCCAGCAGTCACTCTCTTAGCAGGTGGGAAATAGTGGTCAGAATATCCTCAAGCTGAGAAAGGCTTAGAATCCAGGACTCACTTTCTGGGCAAATGCTCTAACCACTGGCTTATTACATATGATGCACACTTATCAAACTGTTCATTTCCAATAATACTTGTAGACACCAAACTTTAGAGGGACTCTGGATCAAAAGTAGACAGAGGTGCCTGCTGGCAGGTCTGACTCAGATGCCTAAATTCTGGGTGGTGTGGGAGCTTAGAGACACCCTCCGTTAGTGTTTTATTGACTTGACTAGTAGTTAGATTCATGCTTGGGTTGTAGATATTTTGATTGCCTTCTGACAAGAGTGGGGACTGAGATCAGGTTGATGACCAAAGTCAAGGACAATAAGAAGTCCTTCTTTAGGTATATAGAGAACAGGAAGACCAAGGGAAATGTGGGGCCCTTGCAGAATGGGATGGGACAGCTGATAGAGTCAGGAGAAAGCTGAACTCGTTAATGAATACATTGGGTGGGTGTTCCTGCATACAAATGGTGGTCAGCTGCCTGGCCAGATACTGGATGGATTGGGGTGGGGGATGAAAGGATGGGAACATGCTGACATAATGTTGTACTGTAATGGTCCAGAAAATATGCAAGAGGCAATTTTTGTAGGTGATATCTTTTATTGGACCAGCTTGGTTGGAATAGGCTTAGACCAGGTTTTGGGTATCTCAGTACCCTTCTTCAGGCCTCTGGGAAAGAAGCAGACAGCAGAGCTAAGTAACAGAGGAACAAAAACTTATGTAAAACTCTTGCTTCTCACCATTAGAGTAATAACCTTGATAGTCAGATGTTTTTGTCTCAGTTTTACTCCTGCACCTGATCTGTTATAGCCTTTCCATATTCAATCATAATGAAAAGTTTGATTATTTAAGGCAATTCCTCCTGCCTGTTTATCAAAAACAATTTTTTACATAGTATAGAACACCTATATTAATCAGTGCTTCACTGGAAACCCTGAAGAAAGATTGTTTATCAAATAAGTGACAGACAGTAGAAAAAAAGTGTTCAATTATTGAATGAGCAAACAGCTGGAGAGGGAAACCACTTGATGAATGCCCATATTTCATTAACACTAATGAGTTTGTAATGAGTTTTATGAATGCATGAGAACAGATCCATTCCTTGTGTATCTATTTTAGAGAGGATTTCTCAAGTCTAAGACTGTACAGATTTGAAGTTTTCTTTGCCAGACCTGTACTGTCAAAACATCTGCAGCACGGATCTGGTTAGCATAACAAAATTATACACAATTAATTCGGCTCTATACAAACCAACTTTACACCAGTAGTGCTGAGGAGACTAATTAACGGATTGTTCTTGTACTAGTTGAGTCTCTATTTACTGTTTAAGTCAACCAAGTTGCTGGAGCTATGTTATTTTTACATGTAAAGTCAGCATTCTTACATTTCAAGAGTAACAAATATGATTCCCATCTCATTTAATCAATAAGCTTCCACATGATTCAGCCACAAACAATCAGGCAAGCTTCCACAAATGTTATTTTTGCAATCTGTTGCATTCATTAATGAACTATTATTGGAAGTCAGTTTCTAATAGAGTAAGCTATTTCCAAGTCTATTAAAACTGTGCCCATCCTCTAAATAACCTATTGATCAACAGGAACACACTACCCTAAACCACTTTTCTGTATAACAGATATCAAGAATGCATTTATTCTACAAGGGCCAAAACAGCGATGGATTTGTTCTACAGAGGATGAAGACAGTAAATTCACATGGCTGTCTGTGCTGCACAGTGCAATCAACTGTAGCATTGAGAAAAACTGTTCTTAAAATGAATCTCAGAGCTTTTAGTATGTGCTAATTATCTGCAAGAACAGAAGATATGATATTTTGTGCAATCTGAGGAACTATTGCTCAAATTTAATATAATAAAAATTATCGCTTTTAGAATGTACAGGTAAGACTAAAAAAAATACAACAGAACTAACACAGCCTTACACAGTAGATAGGAGGGTTTGATATTTTAAAAATACTATTACAGTTCATTTGACTATAGAATTCAAGGCAAAATTCTCATACTTATGACTAAGGGCCTTCATAAAAATTTACACTGTATGACTAAATAATGAAGAACTGCTATATGCACAAATTATCCCTTCACCTACAGGAAGGGACCTTGTTTTTTCTCCGTTGTTTCGTTATTTGAAACGCACAAGATTTTAAGTGGTATGTCCCTGTACTTTCTGTTATCATCTTGTGCCAATTCCTTGTTTCAAGAACATTAAGGATATACAATTTCCCCCCCTTTTTAAACTAGAGAACAAACCCTCCTTGAGTGAAAATTTTACTCAAAAAGTTATGAATGGTAAGTCATGAATACTAAACCATGGAGTCATATTGCTCTGGAAAGTAAAATGAAATAATAAAATAAGGTTCCAGGGACAATTGGTTCTTTAATTGTTGAAACTGAAGCACCTACCCAAAAGAGACTGCTGTACCAGGTACTTAATTAAAGAAAAAACAGAGAAGTGATTTAAAATGCAAACAAGAGAACAGCTCTGTCTTTGCCTTGAAATTACATAGTTCTGTTCGTATTTCTTTGGGAATCTTATGCCATTTGTAATTGTTTCATGGAATGAGAATGTGTTCAATTAAAAGCTAAAGATAGATAGTTTTAGAAAGCTATTTCTGAACAACAGAAAAAAATATGAGGGGTATTACTAGGAAGATTCAGACATTTGTGCAATTTATTTTGCTTAGCTACTTGAAGCAAATACAAGTTCTTAGTGGGAGTAGAGCAAAGGATTCCTCAACCTGCAAAGGCATGGTTAAGAGATAAAATGTGTGACAGAACTTCTACGGGGGACAAAGCTTATTTGGGTAGGAACTGTAATGCCAAAGAATTCCTTTAATATCCTTATGGACATAGTTTTCAGCATTAAGTAAGGGGTTATCTAGTTTGTGCAGTGCACAAATGGTTTTAAGCCTAAAATGAGGAATATTTGAGAGGCACAAGACATGTTAGAATAATTCTTAAAATACAATGATGGTTGTTTTATATTAGCACTGCCTTTGGAAAAAAGGAATGGCTTTCCATGTATTTTGTTCCATTTTGTAGATCTGTTAAACAGACATAGGGATGGACAATGAATAGGTTTTGGATGTGCAAAGGTAACAGTTTAAGCAGTGGGAATGGAGGAAAGGAATAAAAACAAAACAGCAAAGGGAAACAAGATGGAAAGAAAAGAAAAGAAAAGAAGCAAATGTAAGAAATGATTGGTTTTGAAATAAAAGTTCATTTTTCCTAAAGAAAGCTTTGGAAGAAAAATGCTGGCTTGAACTGTGTTGACAACTGCCCATCCTCTTTAATGTGTACAGTAATAATTCCCTATCTACGGTATTTATGCTACCAGTGTAAATACATGCCAGGAGCACACAATAGCAGAGATTGCATATACATTGTGCTAGGTATCCTATAAAGAGTCTGTGCTTAAGATTCAAAATCTGGATTTATAACAAAATGCAACATGTAGCTGGAACAGACAAGTGAGGTAACATTTAAAAAAATGTTTTTCAGGCTATATGGACCTCTTTTCTTTGCCTTCCACATGTTCTTTTATTGGAAGTTAACTCCGTCAAGATAAGGTAGCTCTGTAGGAACACCACCTGAACTGATGCCCTTAAGACAAGAGACACTTAAGACACCTCAAGACTCTGTAGTATATAGTGAAAAGTTTGATTTAAGAATTTGCTGAATGATGCATTCAACTGAACCACAGTACAGTCTTTAAAAATAGACAATCCACTGGCTAGACATAATTATGCTACAGCTATTACTACAAGTTCTTAATTTGAGTGATTTATTTACAATTTGTCAATTTCACTGCATATACATATTTAAATTTTAGTGTAAAAGTTTAATTAAAAAATTTGAATGTTTAAAAAAATATTAACTTTTATACAAGTAGAGGTTTTATTCTTATTCCTCAAACGCTGATAGCAGAAGCAAAATTATTTTACTTTAACTTGGAAATATTTCAGTCCATTTTTAGAAAGGAATTTTTAAAATTCAAACTGCATGGACAACTATATGCGGTAATTTAAAAAAAAATCATATTCTCAAGTGTATCTAGTTACAAAGCACAGCATCTGGTTTTTTTACAGCAATAATTAGTCACATAACTGAAGTGATCTTAGGCCATCATCTTCCCTGGATTGCCTTGCATTTCTCCTTATGACTTGTATCTACTTTCACAGGCTAACAACTGACAAAGATATTGTGGAATTACAATTACATTGGCAACTTATCTTTAAAAATGTTATTTCACTATAGATTTTTCAACCTGTGCTACATGCAAATAAAAAGATTCACGTTTTCATGCAGCTGTGAAGTCTGATTTATACCCAAGGAATGCAGGTTTGCATGGAATGTATAAAAGCTAGCAGAAATGTTTTCATGGCATTTTAAAAAATGAATTTGAACAGTTAGACTAGTATATTAACAACTATAATTACCTTGTTAGTCTACAACAACCCTAAATGGAAAACTCTTATTTATTTACTGTCTAAACTGAAATGCAAGCAAAAGGCAGCATACAAAGTGGAAAAACTGACTTAAATTTTCTTGTCACTCATTAAGAACAAGTAAGAGAATCTAATTAAAACCCAAACAGCAAAACAAGGAGGATAAGGATTTCTAAACCGTGACCCATTTTAGTTTGATTACATTAGAAGGTACTTTCACAGAAGCCTACCAAAAAGGTAGTTTAACAACATGGTTGATCCGCGCTCTCATTTGATCCAAAATCTTACATTTTTTTAAATAGAGGATATCTATGTTTCTTTACAAGCTTAATCATGAATGTGATCTTGTACTATAGAAATAATTCAGCTACACAAACAAGGCACTAGCATAAATGGAGCATAGCCACAGACTACCAAACTAATTTCACTGGTAGCTAAAAGCCTAAAATCTGGGTTTAAAAAAAAAAAAACAGCCCACAAATTAGGATTTACTGCTCATTGCACTTGCCATCAAAAATAGATTTAAAATATTCCTGCTAACTTGCAAGAGAAACCTATTTGTGTGAGTTACTGATTTCAGTTAAGGATGAATCAACAATATTAAAATATTGTGCTGTTTTATTGGTGTAAAAATCACACAATTGCTAGTTCTGATTCTGCTGAGATACATCCATGCAATTTAACATCTATGATCCCACAGCCAGAAGAAGCTATTAAATAGAGTATCTGCTGTTAGTCAGCAATTAATGCAAATTTACATATGAGATCAAAAGTTGTGTATCATACAATATACAACAAATCCTAATACAGTACATCAACCTGAAGAGCAGGATACACTCAGGGAACTCTCTGTTAATAGTGAAGCCTGTATGTGCCAGAAGAATAAGTCCGGGAGACAAGATGACAAAAAGGTAACCCAGGAGTCCTAAGAAGCAAACTGTTTAATTTTTTTGGCTGGGAATTAGAAGTTCATAGAGGTATTGACACATTACTTGACAATACAATCTGTTACAGTAAGGACTGGTGGATCTGATCTGTTAATAAAAGGTAATGTGTGAAGCATGCAGTTACAGGTGGTGCTCAGGAAATGTGCAATCAATATACCAAGAATTAACACCCAATTCTTTCACAAAAGGGATCACTGAAAAAGATCCGTTAGGTCTAGTATCAATTGTACCATTAAGTCATTTATATGCATGCGGCAGAATCAGGATCATGAGTGGACAAATGAACACCTGGCAATCTGGGGTCACATATTGTAGAGTACATAAGAAAAACATGAAATAACCAAATACATTTGATATGGCAAGGTAGCCTGCAAGAACTCTGGCACCCAGAAGGATCTGGTTTATTGCAAGAGCAGGCCTTCTGGAATTGTAAATGACTCGCTGAATTGTGAAAGGTGGCTTGGGCAGTAAATTTTGATTGATGAGAACCAGGGTAGATCCAGGGGGTGCAGTGCTACAGATGCACCTCCTTCAGTCAACACTGTAGAAGCAGAAGCCTGGGACACTTAAGTCCCACAATTGGGTAAGAATACTCTCCTGTCCCCTTCATGTTCCCTCCCCTTCCTTCTCCCCACTCCTTGCTGCCGTTATCTCCAGTTACTCTGGGAACGAGGGTTTGGAGAGGCTCCAGAGCCACTCCTGCCTGCTCCAGCTGTGCCATGAGGGAAGCCAGGCTCAGTTATGGACAGCAGCAGAGGCAGTTCTCTTGACCCTGCACAGTTCCCCTTGGTGTTCCCTGCCAGTGCAGGAGCAGGCATGGGAGAAGGGAACTTGTCCACTGCTACCTCTGCCTGGGCCTGGCTTCATGTGCAGGATAGGGATGGCTCTGGCACTTACCCCATGCCCCTTGGGTCAGCTGGGGACAGCAGAGACACTGGCTGCAATGGGTGACGGAGGGGGACGGCGGGGACTTGCCTCTGGGCAGAGGGGAAGCGAAGTGATAGAAGATTGTTACCTGATTGAAGAAGTAAAAGTCCCAAGCTACTGCAGCCATGGTGTGGTCTAACTGCCAGGGCAGCAGTAGAGGGGTGAGGAAGCTGGGAGCAGGGGCTGCACTCACACCTGCAATACTGGTCACTGCTCCCTCAACCCCCTTTCAAAATCCCTTAAGATAACATACTAGTTTTTCCTGTATTAAACCAATGTTGCATTTTAGGAGGCTATTTATGGTATATTATGTGCTTTAATGTTAAGAGTTAACTGGCTAGTTATCCTCTTCTCTAAGTGTGTTTTGTGACATGAAATATAGAAACCATTCTGAAATTCCAGTTTGAAGTTTTGGCCACTGAAACTGTGCAAATAAATCCAACATATTGTTAAGAAAAATGGCAGGGAAGGCAGTGCCAAAATATACAACATTCAAGGAAAAGATTGTGATTCTTTTTGTACTGAAATTAAGAAAATTAAATACATTAGTGAATAAACGGGACAGAACAGAACCACAAAATGTAATGTTCAATAGAGTGCATTGAGCTGAATGCATGGATCTTTGAATAGGCTTTAAACCCAACCCCCCTTTCAAAATTAGTAAGTTCACAGTTAACGGCAGTTGGCTTATAGGTGAGAAAAGGGTCGAAGCTGCTCCAGTTGAACTTCTAAGGAGATTCTCTCTTCAAGAACATCCTAGAAAAGAAGGATAGTTTTATTTAAAGTTCAAGTGAAATACCAGGATGAAAAAGAAATTCCACCTGTAAGTAAAATTGGGCAAACTGTCAGTTTTGGCCACCAATTTATAATTTTTCTAAGTTTTGGAAAGAGACTCTTTCCAGTTAACTGAAATAACTTTTATCTAGTGAATATTCTTTATTTCTAAACGTTTAATATATTTAATTAAAATGACTTAAAAATGATTCTGTGTATTTTGAACTTAATTTCATTACAAAAAACCTTTTCAGGGTTTGATTTCTTACTCAAATGGTGAAAAATATCACAATTGCATCTCTAAATGCATTGCTTCCAAGGCACTTCCAATTACCTTTTGTTTGGAACAGTGATATCAAATACAGATGATATCAGTCATCTCTTCTCTTGATTCTGCTGTAGTTGAAAGTAAGCCTATAAACAGACACGCAAGCAGATCATCTGTGGTGGGATGTACCCAGCACAGCTAATCTACTTCTTTGGGGGAGACATCACCTGTTGTCCCACATGCATCCTGCAGGACAACATTCACGGTGCACCTCTTAAGTTGGGTACTGTGGTTTCCTTATTTTCAGAGATGCACAGAGACAAATTCCCCAGGCACATCTCTGCAGACGGGGAACCCTAGGATTCCTCACTTGTTGCAGAGATGTGCCTACAGATTCCAATTTGGGGTGTACTTCTGCAAACAGGGAAGCCTGAGAAGGCGTTCCTAGGGCTGGATCTTGTGAGCCCTGAAACACCCTGCAGGGAAATCCCTAGGGCATACAGGCTTGGACCCCTCAACCTCTGGAAGTGGAGGGCAAGGCCCTAGAGCTGCCTGCCTTCTCCCATCTTAAAACAAGTGTCCATCACAAAATAGTGGCAGAAATTAATACTACCTTGTCACAGGCAGAAGTCTATGCATTTGTGGTGGGACAAAGAACACAGATGTTTGTTTGCTTTTTCTGTGCTGCCATAATTTTTTTTATGGCACTGTCTGTCTGCAACCTAAGTCAATCAGTAATACAAAAGAAATAAAAAGAAAGGCACCATGTAGAACCCTTGAGGCAAAGTCCTTGCAATTCCAAGGTTCTATATGAATTACTGTATTTTCTCACAAACAACAGGCACCTTTCCTTCCAAAATTGGGGTGCATGCAATTAAGCGGGGAAGCTGATTTTGTGACCGGGATAGAAGCATTCTGCTTTGATTCCTGATCCACAGTGCAGCATCTGTTGCATTATTATTCAGGCAGCTAACTGAGTCATTTGATTTAGTGGCTCATTACTCCAGGTGTTAACAATAGTCTCTCCTTTTTAATGGTCTTGATGTTCCACTAATCAAGCTAACCTTTTTAAAGGACATTTTTGCTGTTTGCTAGCTGCTCCTGGTCTCTCTCCTCCTATTTCACAGCCTTGGAGACTCTTTAGTCCTTTTCAAAATCAAAGATCCACCCATGGAGACGGGTCTTCAGCAGCAGCTAGGGTTTCCCCTTTAGTTAAGCAGGAAAGAGAGGGTGAGTCAGCTGAAGATTAGGCTGTGCCCCTGCTCCATGCAGCCATAACTCTGGAAAAATCTTTTTTTCTTCATTCTGCCTTTCAAAAACAAGGTGCCTATTATATTCTGAGGTGTTGTATGCGAGAAAATACAACATGATATATACGACCTGCTTAACATTTTAAGGAGAGGTTTCCTAAGCTTTTTTCCATATACCATTTGTGAGTACCTATATATCCCAAACACAAACATCTACTTAAGTACTTCCATCACCGTCTTTCTGCCCCTACTACATGCACAGCCTTACATAAACAGATATACAGAACAGTGGTGTTACCTTTAACTGCTGCTGTAGTTCGCTATTCAATCTGGCCAAAACAGTGTTGGTTTCCTTATTGCGCCTGATTGATGCCTGAATTGCCTTCTTGTCTTTTCCAACTGATCTGAGGATATATTAAAAATATTTTAAGAAATCTTTTCACTGCCAAAAACTAAAACCAATTACTTGTATTACTGGTCAGTTCAATTCCTTAGACTCTATTAGCTGTTCAGCGACCAACATTTTGATTCTTCACAACATTGTGTAGTTAGTGACCATTTCCCCTTGCTTGCCTTTCTACAGATTAAAACAAGTAGTTAATCAATCTTGTCCACACAGAAGCTTTCCAAAAGAACAACCAAAACTGTATTTATAAATTGCCACAGTAGTCTGGAAGATTTAAATGTACAAACACACAATACCAAACTAAATTTCCTCATGCCTAACATAGGCAAAAGGCAAAGGATACAAAACTTAGTTGAATTTCAAGACTGTCCATGTTCAGCACTTTATTTATAACTAATACCCCTATAGACTTATACATAGCAGTTAAAATCTCCAAGATGCAAAACAGGCATCACTTTACACACCCAAAATTCAAGTGCATTACAAGATTCACATCTATATTAACAGGGATTCTTTCAGAGGCTTTCATTTAAAAGCCTTTAGATTTAGGTTTCACTCACTGATTAGTTTTGCATTTGATTTTATAGCCACTAGTATTTAATCAATACAGTTTTATTTGCTCTTTAAGTGTAAACGTCCCATTATTAGATGTATTTATACACATCTTCTGTTACCTAGGAATTGACGGCTGTGAAGCAAGAACAGCAGCTATGACACCTGTTTTCTGTGTATGTTCCTCAACTTCAGGTCTCAGCTCATCTTCTGATTTTAATCTTCTGCGAATAGGCTTTGGTGGTGGAGCAAGGGGTGTAGTGCCTTTGCCCTGGGAAACAAAGCATTACGTGAGTCCTAAAAACACTGATTTAAAACAATCTACTTTAAGTCATATCCCCCTGCTGGCATCAAAACAGCCACAAGAATAGTTACAATTCAAAGCAGCAGTAGTTAACCATGGAAGTGTGCATGTATGTTATGAATAACTGCAAGGCAAAGATTTCTTTGGATGATATTCTTTAGCAGACTAACTACATAGTTGGGATAGGTTAGACAAGCTTTTGAATGCGAGACCTTCTTCAGTTTCACTAAAAGATATCACCCAAAGAAATCTTTACTTCTTGCATGATCCCTGGACCATGAATAACTGCTTCAGCCATCTGTTCCTGAAGATTCTAAACAACTAACCAAAAAGGACTCAATTTGGCTAACTTAATTTGACCATTTATCTCCAAGTCTATTTTACTTAAAACAAAGTGCAAAATGGAACCAGTCCTGTAAACATGTAATACCTCTAGCTACGAATATAAGTATTTAAAAGTTTGGAAGCAAAGAAAACTGGGTTCAAATGGAAACAAAACCTAAGGTGTAGCAATCATTACCTGCTTCTACTTCAATACATGTTCCTGTATGCATTTGAAACCTGCATTTCCCTTTGCAGTATAGTTTACTTACTGTGTTATTGGGGACACTAGTAGCTGCTTTGTCTTCAACTCTTCCCTCTGTTTTGGCAGCTCTAAGAGAACTTGCAGAATCGGAGGGTTTTTCAGCCTGCAGAGAATTAGATAGATAGTTTAAAAATACTGTATTTAGTAAGCAGAATGACTGCATATTTCATACTGGCAGTTTCTCCTGTTAGACTGACCCAATTTACATTCTCAAATCTCATGCATTTAAGCCTTCTTTAACAACCTGAGGGTGGAGAGTAAAGACTGTGCTCAATTACCAACACTAGCTGGTGAATTCCTAGGGAACACACACTGCTGTCTCATTATTGTGACCTGGGGACAAGGTTGTAGTAAGAAAGCTATACTCTGAGAGGCAGCAATATAACTGGATCTTTTGAACACTTAACAGGAACTTCCTGCTATTGGAAATAATCTCAGCATGAAGATAGCTTCAAATATTTTTGAGGTAATGTGCTTTAAGTCGGAGGTTGAACAGTTCATCTTGCAGTAATACCTGAAGACCCCTGACTGACTGAGGACAGTGCTCCTTGTGCTAAGCAGTGTATAAAACGAGTATAACAGTCCCTGCCTCACTCTGAACAGACAAGACAGAAAAATGGGGGGAAGGGAAACCAACATGAAGCATTAAGGTATTTATGTGAGGTCCACCTAATAAATCAGTGACAAAACTGGAAATACATTCTTGCAATTTATTGGACCCCAATAAATGAATCCCTGTGCACCGCTGAGCCTCTCAAAGATTTGCTACACAGGGATTCCTGAATGATGGTCTCCCCTGCTGCCTGCCTGTCCAATACTCTGGATTTCAAGTCTGAAAGTCAAATTCCCATTGAAGCTTTAACAGATATTCTACTCTGCTCAACTTCTGCTTAAACAGACAGTCCAGTGGAC